AGCACGTTAGTGCTAACCACGGAAATTCACATCAAGTTGACCGCCAGATGAATACGGACACTTGAAAGAGGGCTGAGAAACAGTCGTCTGTTGATATTTTTTGTACAAGATCTTAAACTTCAAGGAAACCTGGAACTGCTGAAACGCGGGTCATTTTTCGATCATATATAGTCCCCCCTTAATTCAATCGGTTCTGACCTTCACTTGGGTGGTATGAAAAGGAAAGAAAATGAATGAAGCCCTTCGAATGAAGTTCAAAGATGAAGAATGCGTCTGAGTTTTTACTCGTACAACAATTTATTCTTCAGAATCGTGCATCGTCATTAAGTTGAGCGAACCCATTGTTCGCTCAACTTACAGCTACATTCTTAGCTCTCTTATCCTGTTATCCTCTATTTCATTGTACGTACATGTATAATTTTTCCTCCTTGTTTTAACTTTCCCATTTGGAAAAAAATTAAATTCCAAAAGGCATCATTTTTAGCGCATTTTCTCATTTATGGAAAATGCGTCTGTCCGTCTGTGTGTTCGTGACTTCACGTTTTTGTCGGCGTGAAAATGTGCTCTCTGTCACTCACTGCAGTGAGTACTGAGTTATATTTTTTATTCCTCGTCCCAGGAGATGCACTTCACGCTCCCATTGAGGCTGGCTCTGTTGCTTGCACTTCTTTTGTTCGGCTCGTCCGGGCTGGCGTGCGTCGCAGCGGCTCCCGCTGACCAGTTCTTCCACGGCCACCTCACCTTACCTTCTCCTGACGAGGGTGTCTCACAGCTCATTGCCGACGACTTACTCGGTGACCATGCGAATAATTTCATTTCACTGGGCTTTGTTAACAATAAATGAATAATTAATAATGTTACGTATATTCGTATGTCGAAGGATTGAATACACGATTTTTCGTTTTCCTTTTCTTTATAAAATCGGTTTCTACAAACAAACAATATACAAAGGTAAAAATGGTTACATAAAATTAGTATTGCACATAAGGTATGATCAAGAAGTAAAATAATTTATTTCGAACATACATGTATAACACGATAAAAGTCAAATATACACGTTACACGGATCTTCAGAATTAAAACACACGTACCAAACATTTTCTTCTTTGCAGTCTAGAGCCAACACCGCAACTGAAAGTCTAGACGATTTTAAAACTGAACTAAAGTGAAATGTATGTGACACGCATGTGACACGCATGCAATAAGTCCAGCAGCTATCTCAATCAATCGTCAGTTATGGAAAGATCGGGTTCCAAAGGTCGGATCCCTTGTGAATTCAGTAAACTCAACGCCTACTATGCCATTGCCGGCAGACCGAGGTATGGATGGCATCTCAGTAAACTCAACGCCTACTATGCCATTGCCGGCAGAACGAGGTATGGCATCTCAGCAAACTCAACGTCTACTATGCCATTGCCGGCAGACCGAGGTATGGCATCTCAGTAAACTCAACGCCTACTATGCCATTGCCGGCAGACCGAGGTATGGCACCTCAGCAAACTCAACGTCTACTATGCCATTGCCGGCAGACCGAGGTATGGCACCTCAGCAAACTGAACGCCTACCATGCCATTGCCGGCAGACCGAGGTATGGCATCTCGGGAAACTCAACGCCTTTTAGGTCATATGGTACAATAACAAACTCGACTTATGATATCAGCGAGGTATGGTACAATAGCTAACTTAATGCCAACTATCATATAGTCTTAACACCATGTAAGCAAAGGACACCTTGTGTCGTGTTTAGAATTGGAATCATGTTATTGTTTTCAGAGAAATAATTTATGAATTTTATTCTTTGTTCTTGGCGCATCGCAATAAATTTTGGTAGGCTTTCTCAATTTTTTGTACCCTGCGTAACAATTTTTATCCGTTACTGTTCTCACCTTACATTCAATTCAGATCTGTATTAAAAATATGTCTTCTTGGGGTGCTCTCCTTTCCTCAAACATTTCCGTCACTTCTCATCGTTCATGCGGTATTTTGTACTAAATTTTACCAATTTCATGCTATCGTATGAGGAGAAAAGCTCCGCCAGTAATGCGTTTGTGTCAGTTGTAAACATCCATGATAGTTTCTTCATGCATGATGACTGAATTCATCTTTTAGTATCTCAGTTCCTTATTTACGAACCTTGCTAGATTTTGCATTATTCGGAAAACGATAATCATTTTCGATCGATATGATTTGTGTAAACATGTCTGAACATCTCGGTGAACATCATATTTTAAAACATATCTGAATTCCTTTACCCGAACTGATAAAATTCTTCCCCTATTAGGCACATCTGCTGCTTCATGGCCATGCATTTACATCTAGAATTTTCCTATCACATCCCAGCTATTTGAGTATATGAAACCTTGACAACTCATTTACCAATTGTTAAATGTTAAATTAAATCGGTTAAATGCTTGTAAAATATTCACAACAGATGCGCTTGTTTCAGGTTCGGCAAGAGGACTCAGTCGTGGCCATCAACCAGGAGTCACAAGCTTCGTGTGAGAGGCAACCGCAAAGCCATGGACGAGGCTGCGGCACAAGATTACTTCAGCGACTACTGAGCTCCAAACTCTGCGGTGTTGAATGCGGGAAACTCTGATTATTGGGCATGAATAAATTGCAACATCCGTGCAGGTTTTGTGACGAAAATGTTTCCTCATATTAAAAGAGTTAATGACATGAAAGCGAAGCTTATCGTTGCCCAAAGAGTGTGCCAAATTTATCAGGTTTTGTGCAGTTTTCGAGACAAAATATGCAAAAAGTAAACAAACAACCAAGAAAAGTAATTGACTTATCCAAGAAGAGCATAATGAAACTGTAATAAATAAGTAACTGTATTAAAAATGGCACAACAATTGAGATATTACCGAGTGTGGAAATCGATATCAATTCAGCAGGTTTAAGGAAACTGTGCAAGGTTTTCACCGATTGCTGAATTTCTTCGTAAAACTCACTGAATTATGTAAACAGACTATAAACTCATGCTGAATGAAAAGACTGATATAAATTTAAAATCCATGTTTAAATATTAAAAACGTTTCAAATAACTGATCGAACTGCCACTATTATTTGCATTAATTTTAATACGATTTGTTTAGATTTCATGAGCCGATGAATAAAATTCATCATCATGTGATGGGTTCTTAGCAAAACTCCAAATTATTTCGTTAGGAAAAACTAGATATGATTTTCTCGACTCTATATGAGGTACCTAAACATGCGTGAAGTTTAAATTTTATTTTTAAAGCTAAAGCGTATAAAACAAAATTTTCATTAAAGTTGTGTATGTGATTATAATTAATGAAATTTTAGTTATTTTTGTCGATTGAAAATATATGTGTCATGAAATATGGCAGTTTTCAAATGGCGTGTAACGAATTCTATAGTGCAAAAAGTTATTCACCGTTCACGGTGGTTCACTTCATTTCGTTAGTTCCTGTTTTATCTTCATTTCCTTTTTGGTATGCAATTAAAGAACTGCACTTTACAATGCACTCATAATTGTAAATTACAATATGTGATTTACATAAAGAAGCAAAAAAATTCGATATAGCAAAATGAAGTGACGATATGAAAATCGTTCATTGCTTCAAAATTCATGAAAACGAATGCAAATTAAATTACTAAAATTAAATTGCTTGCATCATCAAATTAAAATTTAGCTGAACACTATCGTTCAATTTTCAGTGGAATTATAAATTTAGAATTTGATAATAGAGTAAAACTCAATTTCCTGTGCAACGGTTAGCTCTGATTTTTCATCATTTGTTTCGGTTTCTTAACAAATATTTCTATTTTATAGCGAATATAATGCGTATTATTTAATGCAGGTGTCGACCTTACATAAGTTGTCTTTTGTTGTGGTGATGTACCAGTATCTGGCTGTCATGTCATCGAATATATTATTCTTATTGCACTTGGCTTTCTTCACGAATTGGGTTTCACCATAGCCAACTGTTGGACTTAATTCGATCTATGATAATTTCAATTGGACAATTTTACAGCCACAAACTATGAAAAGATTTTAATAAGGACTTCTGAGATCTGGAATCCGAGACTGATTACCGTTCCAGTCGCGAACTAAATCACCCAACAAGTACAAGAAAAACTGTTGAACAATTTATGATCACCGTAAGAAACTTCTAAAGTAAACTCATGACAAGTTAAAGTAATGACCCGATGTCATTCACGATTCGATTAACTAACGACTTAGCCACAAAGAGTAATCAATATATTATATTTAAAACACAACGTCGATTCTAGAGCTGCCTATGATTTTCGACCATTTTTTTCGCTTCTATTTTGAGCACAAAGTACAGGAATTAACGCACAGACGTTTCGACTGCTTGGATTTAATGCACTGATTGTTCAGTTATTGCTGCCTTATCTTATTGCTGATCTCAACCTCATGCATCAACCTGATATCTACTTCGGTGCTATAGTGCTAACACTCCGAGGTAAAACTAAATTTCAACAATTTTTCGTATCATCTAGAACTCAATTGCAGTTGTGCCCAAATTAATTTCTATTGATATCAACCTCTCCGTTTCGTTGATTGTCATTCGAGGTTTGCTTTACATTTTACCTGCAGATCACCAGAAAATCAAGGAATTGTTTGCAGGAGAATGAATAACGCCACGTCATCTCATCATCTCATTCTTACGCATGTAAAGAAAAGGAACACACGATTTTAATCTACATGTCCACGATTCATTAATGGAATGTCATGAGACTCAGCTCTCTAACTTCTCGAGAACTCCTTAGTGATTTCAGGAAATTTGAATTACATAACAAAATGATTAATATTTTCTAGATTGATATTCAGGCTATGAACTACAGATTAATATTCGGGCTTTTCTAGCTTAAAATTCAGGCTTTCAACTGCCTAAAGCAATTACCGGTTCAAGAAAAAATTCATTCAAAATAATATTCCTTTTAATGCAAATTTCAGTTTTAAAATTTTAACCTGATTCTAATAAGATGCAGAAATATTTCCCTTATAGTTAATGAATTTGTATAATTAAAATCCTCAGAAAAAAATGTAACATGGCGCTCTACAGATCTACATAATACAAAGTGATAATTTGAAGCTATAGAACAATATCCTAGAACAATAAATCAACAAACAACTATATGAATTGTCTGTATAAAAGGCAAAAGAATAAACACACGTTGTGTTACATGAGCTTCTTCCAACTTTAATTAGAACAATTCTATCTAAATAATAATTGCGATTCTAAAAATAATCGAAAATGGCTATTCTAACGAGAAACATGCATTACATAATAAAAAATTTGCATCATCAGAACAGTTTATCCTGTTTTCATTTCAAAGTCGGAATTTCAGACTTGGAATCTCTGTCGGGAAACTGAAACCCGCGCAGTAAACCCCATCCAAAGTGCGCTTTTCAATCCAACGCAAGAATTTGTTGACGCGAGTGTAGACTCCAGGAAAATTTTCCAGGCCGCAGCTTCTACCGAAGCTCACAATCCCGATCTGTGTTCAAACAAACATCGAAATATTATCATTTTTGTTTTGGTATTAATTAATCTGAAGTTGACAATGCATTTGCTTTTGCAGTTAAGCTTCACGTAACAAAATATCTTGTTTTATATAACGGGATCCTCAGTTTGATGTACGCTTCATATAATAAGTCTCCCCGTTTGATGTACGCCCATAATAAGTCACCAATCCCATCACTACCTATCGTCTTTAAAAACCCACAGCTAATCATAAAAGTGGAATGTTTTTATAAATAAGATCAGGCCTATCTTAAAAAATATCTTTAATTATACCAAGATTTAATTCAATGTAAAAAAACGAATATTAACAACATTTAGCATCGGTCTCTATAATTGCGAAGTTTCTAACTTTTCCCATAAGAAATTTTGTGATTGGATTTGAATTGATCTCATTTTCTAAATCAAACCAAAGGGTGAGCAGAATTCAACCGCAATGCCGAAACAGTGAACGTATTGGTTAGTACATTGTGAGCTCTGAGTAAGCTCTGTTAGTACATTGTGAGCTCTGAGGTAAGTGTTAATGTAAATAAAAATTGGTTCATGAAATGAGTAATTTTTTACAGTTTTTGCAAGCAATTCATTTAGAATTCATGCTACTGAAATGTTTAGGATTGATATTAGAGTTATTATTAAAATAATTATTCTATTCTATCCCCTTTTAAAATTCATACGTAAATCAACAATAACAACTTCCACTCATGAATATGTTCTCAGAGCCAAACCTAATCCAAGTCGGAATCTCATTTAATTCTAATCGTTAATTAACTCGTTAATTCTTCAGTTAAAGTCTTAGCTCCCACTTGAAATAATCCTTTTGATCGATAAATATATTTTGATAAAAAATTTACTGCCATTATCCCCTTTAGCTCATATCTTGTTCGACAAGCCCCGGTTCGTAGACGTATTCGTTTTGTGTTAGCTTGAGCGTGTCGCTGCTATATCATAGTACATGGCATTACTTCTGTCAAAATTTCATTAATCATTGTTCAACTACGTAACGGTAACTTGCTCAGAGTTTTTTTTATTATTAATGACAGTTTTTCAGAAGTTGTTTTCTAATTAATAGCTTAATTATGTTCGTTTTTGAGGCCTTCGTACCTGGTCGTAACGTTGTCCTTTATCCAGGTGTACTAGAGGACCGCCTGAGTCTCCCTGGCAGGAGTCGAGCCCAGCGGCTCCAGCACACAACATCCTGCTGGTGATCTCAGAAGGCTGGTAGCCTGTCCGCTGCTGGCAATGTTTCTGTGTCAAAACCTGTACAAATACATTAAATCAGTATAAATTACACATTACATTAAATTAATATACACATTAATTGTGCACATTAATTAAATTACATTACATTTATGCATTAAATCGTACATGTACAAACAATACATACAGATAATTTTCTAATTCCTATGGTGCTGGTGTGCTGTTATTTGTAAATATAATTATTTAAGTTTATGTAAAAGTTTCTGGGGCTTTTCATGTTTTTGGTTATCTAAAATAACGATAATTTTCACGCAGTTGGCTTTTATTAATGCAGTGGCTACGAATGATCACATACAGTATTTTCAAAATTTACCTTAATTTTCCTGAATCCCAAAAAATACTCAGAAGAAGTTATGTGATCATTCTTCATTTTCAAAAAAATTTAGTATGCTTTCAATAAGCGATTTCTCCTACTCAAGCCGGTATTAATAAAACTGATTCTATGACAACATTTACCACTAGAACAGTGATATTCATAGACTGCGCTTTCTTCAAGCGAAGTTTAAAAAGACTAATGGCTTTAAAATGTAATTTTCATGAAATGTGCTCATAAAACTTTGATTGTGCGTAAAACGTGTGATCCTATATGCTGTCAAAGATTATGAATCGTTGTCGGAATGTCATACTTCTGAGAACTAAATAGAGGTTCATTAAATAATTTGTGAATTCCATTCGAGAACTATATTTTTGCACTAATTCTACTCCAGGCTTTTTACAACGAGTATTTGTACCGGGACTGTCACTTCCAGCAATGTGCTGGAACTTGGACCTCCGGACGACGTAGCACCCCAGCCTGTGACGACAGCTTCTTTGTTGCCATATTGCGGCAGAGCCGAGGACGGCAGACATACGGGCAACAGCCGGGCACTGATCTGCACTCATAAATATACATACATTCAAATACTTACTTTTGTATTTATGCCCCGTTGATTGACTTGGAAAGGTACAATTATTCTTGATGAGAATTCTTCATTTTAACAGCGACTAAAATTTAGTTATTTACTTCTCTAACCCGACTAAAATGAGATGGAGAGGCGCTAGACAAATGGCCCAACAGAGCGGCATTTCATGACAACTATACATATATGGAGGCTCATTAAATGATATAAAAACGTCGAATAATAAATATACTCACCCTGACAGTTTTGTTTAGATGAATGATGGCAATATCGTTATTATTAGTGACGGGGTCATATAAATGATGGGTGTAAATTGTCGTCACATTTCTTTCCACCAAATTAGTTTCGGACGGATTGGTGAGGTTATGGTCTCTTAAGTGAACCACAACATCTTCAGCTCCAAAGCCCTGTCCGAAGATAATGTAATTTTAGAAGCAACAAAACACGTTTTTCAAACTTCAGATCATTGGATCACAATTATCGAAATATTTATGATGAGTAAAAGAGTTCGTCGTCATAGAAATTTCTAAAAATGAAAGACTGCCCTCTCTCCGGTGATAGTTACTAAAAATGTTTCTTCAACTTTTATGAGCAAAAAAAATTGCTGCTGCCGTGTAAGGCTTTTTGACGACTTTACGGTTTTATTCATTAGTCAGAAGCATCTCCCGGCCTGATAAGAGACGCTGTAAGCTATGTAGGTGTCTTACTTAATATTTGTAAGGAATTACACCCCATGACTGTTTGGTCATTTATTCCAATTCTTTAAATTCTTCTTAGGGTTAATTTAGTAGCATTGGTCTGCTAGATGTTCACTGTCATTGATTTCGAAATTGTATACTAGGCTACCATAGATGATTCTAAGGATAAATTTAGAGAAGTCCCCACGGTGACCTCGGTAAAACTGTGTCTGTGAGTGTAATTTTTCACAAGTTTTCTTGAATGTAAGTATGGATGGTCAGTGGTCACGAGCATGAATTAAGAATGATGTTGGCGTTCCAATTTGGCAGGGATATCAATAGAGAAGAGTGGGAGGTATGTTGTTGGCCGCATTCGACGGGGATATGATGATGCCATGGTGTGTAGATGAACTTAAAAGCACCACCCTCATCATTACTTAACAGCCATATAAACTACTATCAAAGTTGGAAAGTAAAGTTTTCGCTATTAAAGTTGGGAAGAATATATACATTTTCAATGGGCGAACGTTAAGTGCAAATAAATATAAAAATTTTCTGCAATCGAACGTAATTATTGGTATTTAGCATTCTGGCTAGACCTCATTTACCCACTAAAATTATCAATACAGTGAAATTCCAGTGCTCGGTGAACATGTGGTCATGTCATGCATTATTATTCATAATGCTATTCTACATAATATTGTGATGCATTAATTTTGCGTTTTTTCTTGCACTTTTCTCTGAGTTTTCTATAATAATGGCAAAAAAAGCTGTGGACAACGGAAAAATTGATGCGTTTCTTCAATTTAATTCGGCACAAAGTTAACCACAATTGAATGAGATTGATATTTGAATTCCTGCAAACTTGTTCCTTATATTATACATTATACATAATTATATTAGTGAATTCCTGACCATACTCTCATGATTATATCACTGATTATATCAATTGTTCACTATAACGGATGTAAATCTTGATTCACAGCGATACTCACCGACCATTTGAACTCATATAGTGCACATCATACACAAGTGTACCCGTGTGTGTTTGACCTATACCTAAAGTTATTCCTATTCCTTCTGTCATCAATTTCACCTCTAGGTAATTTATTTACATAATACTTTCCATCACCAAGTAATCATTTGATCATTATAATCATGACCTGAAGGCAGTGGGCAGCTGTGAGTATGTGTTGGTTGGTGATAAGTGAACCACCGCAGAATTGTTCTCCAGTTGCGGTCTGTACGAGCGCCGCCTGCCAAGGATACTCGTGACGATATGTCTCCGTACCGCCGACGATGCGCGTGAATTTCTTGCCACACTTGCACGTCCTGTTGAACTGTGCCCGGGCACCACCAGCTTTTGATGTGTTGAGCATGACTTCTCCATCGTCATTGCCTTTGGATTCAAGGGCTGGGATGCAATTTTGGGCCAATGAATGAAAGCGATTAATTTACGGACAAATTCTGCAAATATGTTATAATCCTACGGTTTTTATTTATGAAGTACAGGCATCTGCAGTGCCAAATGTGCAGAGATATTATTATTATTCAACCTAAATATTTTTCGGCGTATTTATTTGAGGGAAAATGTTTCATTTTGACAGGTGTTGAATTTCAGGCAATCGACCTCAGTTGTTTGAATATCGAAACTGCTAGATTATGAATCTAAGTCTATTCAATGGTATTTTACAAGACAATTGGTATTTCAATGTAAAAATGGTATTTTTAATGGTATTTTTACAAGTCAAAACTACAATGTGTGTACGAGTAAAATTTATCTAATCAAGTAACTACGAAAAAAATTCTCTACACTACATCGGACGTAGGCTGATTACTGCTCAAATTCGTCAAATTTATTGAAATGAGTCGCACAGATTTAAAAACTATAACCAATTTCAGCATATAATTATAAAATGAGTCAAATGTTTAACAAATTTAATATTTTCATGGCAAATTGCGCAAAATTTTCTAGTTGTCCGCCGTGTTTAGGAATTACAAGAACAAAAATGACAAAATTTTAGATCTTCTGTGAACAAGTCACGAAAAGTTCGGCAAGACAAGATTCTGCGACAGGCCACATCAGGCCTACTCATTAGCGCCGACATCATTATGTTATGTAAAATTAATTGGTAAATACATTGAAGAACTGACCTGATAATGAAGCAGGAGCGACGTACATGAGAGCCACCGCTGAGACGGTTAGCATCCACCAGGTGGCTGGCAAAGGCATCAGGTATCCGGGTTCCAGTTCACACTATATGAGCTAGGAAACGCTGAAAAAAATAAAAAATACGCGAAATAATTCAGAATATTTGTTGCAAAATAATTACCTAAATAAACTATTACTTAGAATTACATTGAAATTTGGTCTCTGTGAAAAGCTGAAGATAAAACCTGCAGCAATTATGTTGTTTTTAAACAATTTTTTTCTGTAAATCATTTAAAACACTAAAATTATTTAATATTTTCAATTAGAGAATCAAATCAATAATATGGGATTCAAGTCGAAACCTTCTAGGATTGAATAAGTTAAAAGTTTCATAAATATACAAGGTTCACAAATTGAAAAAATGAAATAGTTACTAATACGCTTAGCATTGACCTAGTTGGGATTAATGCAGTTAGTTGTATATTAAAATTAAATTACAGATTTTCCATATCCTACATTTTCCAGAATGTAGGAGAAGAATAATACAATACCGGCTGCATCTAGAAAATAATCACCAAATATTTCATTTGAGATATTCTTGATCTCTGTCACAATTTCTGTTGAATGATTTATTAAAATGCGGCAGCTCCTTGACTTTCTTCATTAACTCAAATTTTTAAACACGGAATGGTAGAAAGAACACTGCCTTATTTATTAGCTTATGACATTTTTACCAATGGAATCGAATTTAGAAAAATATTCCCAATGTTGCTCTTTTCCTCTCATTTCAATTACTTCTTATGTAGATTTCTGTCATTAATTTCACCTATAGCAATAACCGGTATTAAAATGTATTAATACTCCTATAAGAATTTTTGTTGCAGAACATAGTTGAAATAAATTTACGGTGCTGGCGACACGCATATCTTACCTCATGGAACGGCAGCACGAAACTGACGCCTGCTTCGTCGTGGCAGTATTTTGGCAGAATAAAAGAAAGCGGGAGCCTTGGTTGCATGAATATATCGCGTTTCATACAAGGTTCCAGATAACTTTCTTTTTCATTCCATATCTGATTATCAGCTCTTGAAAATTGCTACTTCGTGCAGGTAACTTTCTCATTCATGGGTGCCATTTTAATGGAATTCACGAATTCAGACAGAATCATTCAAGTATTGCTCTTGAATTAGAATTTAAATTGCAGCTATTGTACTGCGGCTGTGTACAGTCTTATACGATCATATGTGTAATGTATAAAAATCATGAATAAACCTTCTTAGAATGAGGAAAAAGTTGTGTTGAAATGCAAAATGCATTTCGACTTGGGATGAATATTAAAAAATAAAACTCAGTACTCATTGCAGTGAGTGACAGAGAGCACATTTTCTCGTCGACGAAAACGTGGTCACGGACGGACAGACAGACGGATGGACATGACGAGCACAATAGCGCCTTTTTTCTATAAATGAGAAACTGCGCTAAATAGGAAAAAATGTAAAGATGTTTTCGGAGTGTGTGTAGGAAATGTATCCAGGATATGTCGTGACCCATGAAGGTAACTGGAGAAAGTGTCAAAGTCTCGTCATGAACTCAGTCCCGGGAAAGTTTGGCATATGATCAACAGAAAGTTCAGAGAGAGAGAGGCCGCTGCGCGACCATGATCAATTGATCATGCACTACATTGTCATACGCATATGCGATAACGTTGATGCTTAATTAAAAAATTAACTTTGATGCATCAACGTATGCGATCATACGTTGATGCTGAATACTTTTAATGTATAATCAAAGAAACTGCTTATCAGAAAACAGCTATGAAATGAATCCAGTGAATTGTAAAAGTAAACTTCACTATCATGGTTATAATTTTGATACGATCACAGTATACGTCCGTGATTATTCCAATGAGATAAGTTTAGAAAGTTGCTCTTAAAGCGGAAAACTTGATAATTTTGGAGTTGCTAATTGCAATGGCAGGATTTTCTAAATTACAGATGGTTATTGAGCAATGATAATTTAATAAAATTCATGTATTATTAAGTTTTTTAATTGTTATTATTATTTTCCGAAAAGATTATCATGTAGTCTGGCAAAAACTTCAAGCGCGCGTTTCAAACTTGGGAAATTAAAGTAAGTACTAATGTAATTGGAAAATGAGATACAAGAAGAATAATAGTAGAGTACTAACGGAAAATGAAGTTTTTAAATAAAAAGTTCAGTCAAGTGTTTTAGCGCATTTTGTCATTTATGGAAAAATGCACTATTGTGCTCGCCATGTCCGTCTGTCTGTCTGTCCGTCCGTCTGTCCGTCCGTCCGTGACCTCAAGTTTTCGTCGACGAGAAAATGCGCTCTCTGTCACTCACTGCAGTGAGTACTGAGTTATATTTTTTAGCCATTATCACACGAACGGAATTATTTTAGGAATCTTTACATCGGCTCACCACTCATCGAAGATTTTAGAACTCATCTAAGAAATTCTTCAGTTTTAATAGGTAATGAATAGAAGATAGTTTTTAATTCATTTAATAAATACGGAGACTCGTTCGAACAATACACGCAAAAATTGTTGTCAGTTGCTTTTTGTACCCTTTAAATAATTCAGCGCTAATTGTTTGGAAACATAGAATTAATTCAGACAAAATTCGATGAAACTAATGGATGTAGTTAGAATGGATAAGCTATCAATATTCGAAGCTAGGTTCACACACAGTACACTTTCCCTCAGAAAATTCGAGATACATTCAAAATAAATAACCCGTAGTGATTATTATTATTCCCTTCCCAAGCATTGGCAGAAAAAATAAATGTCGAATAACAAATTCTGTCTTTTTTCTACCTTCGGCCCCAAAATTAAGTCGAAATTTCATTCAATTGTGGTGTGCCTCTCAATCCAACTCAAGTTTCTGTTCACTCGCGAAAAAACTGCGCAGGGATCACTTTGTCGCCACATTCTTCATGGACGAGGCTCGCAAGGAAAGGGAACCATTACGAGGAAAGGACGAGGCTATCAGGTCAAGGGAACCATTTTATTTAAATAATTTGCAGTTATGCAAATGGTTTTCTTGAAGATGGTAATTTCCATGGAAAGCGAAAAAAGTGAAAACTCAATATTTAAATGGTCATGAGGTGGATTTACAGGCATTAAACAACAATGTCGGTGTTATCTTGCTGCACAATAAAAGTTTAACAAATTACATCTCACCATGGTTTCGATGTTATTTCTTGCTACTCGATGGAGTAGTTTGTGTCGGGAACCTAACGTGGTCACAGCCGTAATTCACGGGATCATCTCGTAACTTGTATATAGCCCTTGAGGTTGGTTCGTGCCATGGTTGAACTATATAAGGTTGACCCACGAGAAGTTCCGTCTTTCAGTTCAGCTTTCTTGTTACGTCACGTAGATCGAGAAACTTAAACAAACCTTTCATTCTCATGACGGATTGGTTGACTGGTTTGATCGCATTTCGGTGATTAGTTAATGCCAGTGACGTCACTGAGATCAGTGACGTCACAGGCGAACAACAAACTACATCCGCAAAAATGGGCTTCTGATGGGTCAACCTTATATTAGTTCAACCATGGGTTCANGGCTTCTGATGGGTCAACCTTATACTAGTTCAATCATGGGTTCGTGCTACCGGCTAGCCTCCGGGCATTCAATCATCAGCAAGCGTCGATGGCGGAACCCATTTCAATCCCGTTCTACTTGTATGTGTGTCCATCTTTGTCTCTTGTCACCATATGAATAAATTATTCATACCTGTCGTCGAGTTGCCGAACCTGGGTTAAATCATTATACTGCCATTTGCGGTCCATTCGCCACAGTTTGTGCTTAATTCCCCCATTGTGCCCCTGATATTGTCTGAAGTTTCATGTCGCTCGATTCTAAAAGATTTTTTACTACTAAAGTGTTGTTTTCTTATTTGGTCATACTTTTGTTTTTGATTAAGGTATATATAACGGGACCGCCGGAGTTACCGTAGCAGACCTTAAGACAGTTTGCACCTGCGCTCATGCATCTTGCTGCTAATCTGATCAGGCGAGGAGCCCGTCAAGTTTAGACAATTATTTCTGGTGAAAACCTACACAAATAAAGCATAGAATTAAACAGTCACGACTCTATTTAATTGCATAAGTAAACTTTCAATTAAAAATGTCTAGGTCACTTGTTGCAGTACTGATTATAGTAGCGCTATCATTGACATAAATCGTTATAGACCAATTAAAAATAGAAGGACTCTATTTTAACTGCATAAGTAAACTTCCAATTAAATTTTCTTGGTCACTTGTTGAAATGCTAGTTAAAGTACCGCTAGTGTTGGTTTCAATCATTCTAGACCAATTTAAAAATAGATCTTACAGTAATTTTGCCAGAACTTACGTTTCTCAGCGAAAGTGAACTACACATGATTCAAGTTAGCAACCATTTTCGAACGACTAATTTCTAACTTCAAATTAATCAGTAATAATTTCAACTGGGATATAAAATGCAGAGGTATTGATTTTTCATGACGTGTTTTCACAATTCTCTTTTATCTGTAAATGGCCTCCACTGACGACTTGATACAATTTTTGATATTTCAAGTTTGAGGTTATTCATTGTCCAAAAATTCACGTGGCGCTCCAATTCATAAACTAAAATTCATTCATCATGTGTTGCAATTAGTTTAAAGAGCTTAATCTAAGAAGATTATCATTCATCAAATTCTAGAAATTAGTTGTTGTAGAAATTAGTTATGCATGAATCAAGTAATTAGTAATGAGTCAAATTAGTTGTAGAAATTATATTACATAAACATTTCTTTTACTAATTACTAGAACATCAAGTACTTTGGACCCTGGGTTCACAAGCGTCATGTTTACTTGTTTGATGTTGGTCTAATTATTTGCTAAATATACATTTCATTGAATTATCCTACTTGATTGTTGGCCAGTATTACCAGTACGCAGGAGTGTTGGGAACAGTGGTATATGCCAACCATGAGTGGCCGTTGTTGTTTACGAAGGTTATTCTCAAGCGAACAATAATTGTAGAAATATTCATATTGAAAATTGTTCATCACTAATTACTTGTTCACCAGGTGTGTTTGGACCCGTGGTACACACCCGCCTACAACTCGTGCCTGATTTACTCGTTTGGTGTCGGCAACGACATCACATTTGAGAAGATCATGTCCGACCTCTGGGGCTGTCAGGTCTTCCTGCACGACCACACTGTCAACCATACCAACGTCAGGAATGCTAATATTAAAAACTTTTTTCATAAATGGTTCAATGAAAGTGAGGACCAAAATGGGTTTACTCGCACAGAAAAATATTTTTTGCACAGGTAATTTGCATAAGGTACACCAAGAAGCCGAATAAGAAAACTATTCAGAATTATGAAGTACTCGCTTGAAAATGTGTTCAGTGAAACAATAAAAGCAGATCGATGAATAGATTTGAGATATGGAAATGAATTGTAAGACTTCGGCTTCAGGATTTCTTCGGGCCTCGCCTCGTCCACCGGCCGTGGGGCATCGCCAACGTCAGCCACGTCGACGACGACGGCCGGACGTTGGTGACGTACAAAGACGCCCTCGCGGCCAACGGTCACGTCGGCGCCCAGATGCACTACCTCAAGATCGACATCGAGGAACAAGAATATCATGTTAGTGCAACTTGTAAGATGTAAACAGTGAATATTTTATATCGTAAAAATGTAAATTTATGTAATAATATTCACAAAAGCCAAACTTGCGCTTAATTCATTGCGTGCCGAATTCAATAGCTGCCACAAGTTATTCCACCACTTTTTGTGATGTAATATATGTTCACTACATACTATAATAATGCAATGATTATTCAACTTTATCATTCATGAGTTAACTCCAAAAGCTAGTCTGACTACAAAGCTAAAAAATACACCAAAAATACATAAAGGAAATTCATCAGCGTTGTTTTATAAAATAGTTTGTAAATCATCGATAGGTTT